CCTGAGGATCCTAACAGTATGTTTGTCACTATGTTTATACAGTTGAAATTGTATTTGTTATTTTCACTTCAAGCTAAAAATTAACATGACTATTTCACAGTTAATACATTTTCAATGCCTGTTTTTCAGTTTGACTTTTCAAAATTCTGCCTTTCAAAATTCAAACTCAATATTTTCAGCTACTGAGATTCAACTGGCTGAATTTCACTGTTAAATTCAGCGTCTGATCTCTGTTTTTCCGTGATCTCTGAGTGGTTTCTCTGCATGTGGCTCAGATTCGTAAAACCGATCATGACACCACCTGGATTCAACCCTTCTTGGGCTGGTCCCCTTGAATTGGGACATACCCTATTTATTGAATTTCATGCGCAAAGAAAAGCAATTCTACAGAAAAATGAAAGGAATAAACTCACTGATGCGTTAGCTTGCATGACCGCCGCCTCCTTGATGCTGGTTTTCCTTCGGTATGAGAGCCACAAACTTCCCGTCACGTGACTAAGAAACTGTAACGGGATCGGCTGGGTGTTGCTAATGCTAATTGCTAATGTCTGTGACCTGAAGTAACCTTTTTACATTAAATTTAGACGCTGAATTTAACAGTGAAATTCAGCCAGTTGAATCTCAGTAGCTAAAAATATTGATATTTTAACACAGAAAGAGTAAATACAAAATACAACATTTATATTTCAGTGACATTTTTAATTTAAATCCCAGCGGCACAGATTTACTTCCATAGTTGCCTTAGATGAACTTATTTGCAGTCTATTAACCTACATCTTTGTCTCTACTTCCTCACATAGTTTAAAGGCATGTAAACCTCATAGTCTGAATTAGTACTTTCAGTGAACTTTCATTTTTTTTCTGTTATGCATCCTTTGAAGCATGCACAAAAATAATCTTAGATTTTTTCGGGTCCAGAGAGCCACGCCCCCTTTTACTCGACCATACAAATAGTTTGGACCTTCCTAATCTAAACCTCTAATACTCTAATAATCTAATAATCCTTAAAGGAGGAAATTAGATTAGATTAATAAACTGAAAGGTTTGGAAATCATTAAATGGACTCAGGTTATAGTGATTGTTGGCTATTATTTCACCAAGAAATGTGAAATATAGTTTAATAGTCACAAATACAAATTTGTGTTTTGAGTAAATAATTTAATTTTAATAATTAATTAACTTAGTTGAACCTAGTCTTCCTTCTAAGTAACCTGAGTGTAAAACATAAACCTTTTCTCCGCTGTGATGGCGATAAAGCTCAGTGTTGGACGATGTTTTTAACTCTGGTCTGAAGCTTTTCATCTTAGTGAAGTAATTAGTGAGATAATATCCTTCACCAAGGTTATTATTTCAGCCAGGATTACTGTAGTTAGAGATGATGCTATCACCACACGCCTTGCTCTGCCTCCTAGGTCTGCTCTATGGGCTCAGATATTCAATTTGGTTTCCTCTTTATTAAGATCCCCATTAGCTGATAGAGCGCAGACAGCCAGTCTCCTGAGGTGAGGAGATTAACAAGCTCTCATGCTAATCCCTACAAGCAAACTGCTGCTCCCAAAGACAAACCAGACCCTGGAACACAATCATTTTGTTCACTGCTAGAGCTAATCTGCAGCTTCACACTGGTGACACTGGTGTGGGAACAACAAATCTTTCCAGCACACACAGGCAGCTGATGTTTGATCACCCAAAGGCACGGCCTCACACGCATAGTGAGGCTAAAACATTTGAGCAATAAACAGATTTACACAGACTACCACTACTCTTCTACAGTTTGCCTCCCTGCAGACGGGCTACCATGTTTAATGATAATATATGCCATAACATCATTGGGGAATTTGTTGTTTTCTATGTTTTTTTCATGAGAACAAACTTTGCATGCCAATGTGACATGATGTTGGTTTCCAAAGAAAAAGAGCCAAAGATGTTGAAAAGATTTTAAACTCCTGACTGCGTTCTTTAGAAGCCCGCCGCTGTCTCTCTCTAATCCTTCACTCTCTCTTTCAGACAAAAGATTCAGATTCACTGATAGATTAAAGTTTTCTCTGCCATCTTTTTTTGCTTTTTAAGGTTTATGTTGATCCTTTAAAAGCTGACTAGAGAGGGAGGGTTCTTCACTATAAAGAAGAATTACAGTTGGAAATTCTAATTTTATATCATATAATGAGAAGCAACATTGAATCAAAACAATTAATAAAATGACAACTTGTTAATTTTTAATGAGAAAGTCTACTCCTTTGTAAATGATTAGTTTAGCTTTTCTTTAAGGTATCATTCCACCTTAATTCAAATACTGGGAACATTAGATCCTATTTTGTTGCCTTGCAGTTACGTTTTGTCAGCAGAGAAAATCACAGCTTTTAGGTGTAGCTTCTGCATCTTTCCAGCTTTCTGAAGCTGCAGGCCAAACAGTGACATGTGTGCTTCTGCAGGTGTGGATGTGTGGTGGTCGGATGGAGGACATTCCTTGCTCCAGGGTGGGGCATATCTACAGAAAATATGTTCCCTACAAGATTCCTGGAGGGATCAGCCTGGCAAAGGTGATGCTGCAATCTACCTGGTTTTATGATTAAATGTTTTTTCTGTTTTCTGAGAATGAAAATGAACATTAAGGAAGTTTAACTGTTGTACTGTGAAGCTTTAACTACATGTTTTAAATATTATGTTTTAAAAAGATCAGCTGACAGCTAATTGTCAGTTTTCTATCAGAGGCTTATGATATAAGCTCCATTCTCATCCACAGCGGTCATCACACCAACGCTCATTATACCCAGATTAGCCCTGATGGTTTATTCTGGATTGTTTGATGGTGAAAAACTCAATCTTAGTCTAATCTATAAATAACAGTTTATCGATCTTCAGAGATCCGGGGGACAGAGCTGACGTCTCTGTTAGACACTGGCTGTTGAACAATGAAGTGTTTTTAAGACAATAGTGCTGATATATATTCAGGTAAACCTGCGAGTTATTAGTAACATCAGGAGACATGGAGAAAATCACTCAGGTCTTTCATGTTTGCTTCATTTGCATAAATAATAACTATTCAGATAAAACATAATATTCACTAGTTTATCTTTAATAGCCACACCTCAGACTTTTTCCCCCCAATTGATAACAGATGAAGTATTCAGCATATTTTATTAATTAACATTAATTAATTTCCTTGACTTCAGCATAATAATAATAATTCTGAAACACATTTCTTTATTTTTTGTTCCAGCAGAAACACAATTTGATGTAAAACTTTTATTTCTGTTTTTCTCTCCTATGAACGTTATTCTCAGATGTAAATCTAAAGGAAACGTGCTAAAGGTGCAACGGTCCTACTGTTGAACACATATGAGTAAATATTGGAGTCACTGAAAAAAAAATGGAGGGGAGATTTAAGTTAACAAAATTTCAGAGGAATTGTGGTAAAACATTATTTAATCTATTTTATTATTGTCTGTGATGTTCAGTAGTCCAGTTTATAACAGCCTCTACTGGACAAAACAAATGATCTGTAATATGAATAAACAGAACGACCAATTAACTAGATCCTTCCAGCTTTTGGACATAAATAATTATTTTATACAGGAAACTGATTTTTGATCATTTATCACAAATATGTAATAGAAACAATGTGAACATCTATTATGCAAAAAGATTCTTTATTTTTGATGAAGGCTTTTTGATGAGAGGTAAAAAATACCTTAAAGAAAGGAGAATAAATCCAAAGTCCTTCTATTGGCCACTTCCAGTTACAATAACAATATCATGTAATTGTGTGTGATAGAAGTAAAAGGTCAGCCTGTTGGAAAACTGTTTATACTTTTATTATGGGAAAATATGTAAACCTTTTAATAAACAGCCCTCAGTTAAAATATAGATGCAGAATAGCTCATGGCTTTGAGCTGATCTGAGATGTAGCACCATTGATGAAGCGTTAAGCTTCCCACGGCCATCAGGATGCAGCTCAGGGTTTAAACCTTCTGCTCCGGTCTAACCTCCAGACTTTAACATGTTTTAACTGAACAATGAAGGCTTTGAATTTATGCTGCTGGATCAGAGTTTCACAAAGAAATAACTGTTTGTTCTGCAGAAAACCTCATTTCACAGAGCAGTAAAATGTTTTTATATAAAAGGCAGACTTGGAGATAAATTTTGTAGATTCTACTGATTTCATGAGACTCAGAAGAGTAAAACCTGCCAACTGAATGTTAGTTAATTAATTAACTTTTTTCTTTTTGTAATCTGAAGTCAGATTTTTTTTTTTGTAGTGTTACTGAATATACATTTTTTGACATAGCTAAAACTTCAGGAGGCTCTTTAATTGTTTACAGAATCTGAAAAGGGTGGCGGAGGTGTGGATGGATGAGTATGCTGAATACGTCTACCAGCATCGGCCTGAGTACCGACACCTTTCAGCAGGAGACATGACGGCGCAGAAGGAGCTGCGAAGTCAACTGGGCTGCAAAAACTTCAAATGGTTCATGAGCGAGGTGGCCTGGGATCTGCCCAGACATTACCCACCAGTGGAGCCCCCTGCTGCTGCCTGGGGGGAGGTAAGAGCTGCACTGGTTCAACTGGGAGAAACTGGTTTTTAAGCTACATCAGAGCAAAACGTCCATAGCCAGTTAGTGCAATGAATTAAAAAGTAATTAAGTTAATGACACAAATCTTAAATGATGGAATATATATAATTTCTGAAATGCTAAAAAAAAACATAAATATATATAAGAATAAAAAAACTGGAGGGAGAGATCTGCTGTATATATAGATATATAGCTTCCAGAGCAGCACCTTCTGTTTCCCCGGCTACACTACTTCAACCCTCAGCAGTTAGGCCTATAGCAGACATCCCCAGTTCTAAGAACTGATTTATCCTCCAGATTATCATCCAGCTCTGTCTTCTGGTGATCTTTCACTAGTTTCCACAGCTTCTATGTGAGCTCAGAATGCTGCATCCCCTTCCCTCTGTGGTCTGGATGATCTGTTCACCTATTTTGGACATTTGGACCAAAACACTTATGTACCAAGCGCAGGAGAAAGAAGCTTCACCGTTAAAAGTAAAACTTCAAATCAATGACCGAACAAATTGCTGGTCTTCATAATGAAAGGACATTTGCCGGTTGTGGATGATCACATGAGAATCTCTGATTACCGAGCACTGCTGATTGACCGCTGGAAGTCTAGCTAATAAAATAACAAAACAAGCTTTAAAAAAAGTGAAAATGCAAACAGGACTAAAGGTTTAACAAAGTTACTCAACCATCACAGAGCCTAAAGCCAATACACCTCATTTACTCCTCATTTCACTCCTCTGATTCTCAGCTGTCTGTGAGTGGCACATTAGGTGGGTATTAAAGAGGATTTTTCTCAGAAATTAAGTGTCCAAATTCATCTAAAGTGACTAAATTCATGGATGGCATTCTTGCACCATGCCCCCTCCCCCCAAAAATTACTAAAATCCATGAACTCTGGCTGTATGCTTTGGCTACTGCCGAAAGGGGATTGGCTACTTGTATGTCAATCAAACATTTTGTGTACGTGCCGCCATCGCATTTTTACGTAGGCTCCAAGAGTAACTCACTACTTTTTTCAGTTATTTGTTCACTCTTTTGTTTAAACTTGAGCATCAACGGCAGAAAGGAATCCTGGCAAACCAGACATATTTGTGGAAGCTAGTCTAATTTTCTGATTGTAAAGAACAAATTTTATGGGGCAATTTTAAGAATATGCTGGATTACTTTTTATCCGTAGACCCTTACGAGCAAATGGATTATAAACACTCTAAGATTGGTGATATGACCTCAAATCAATGTCATAATAAATTTTGCCTTTTTACCTTGAGAAAAAAATAAATGCATAATAAATGCTCCGGCTTTTAGCAATAAAGGCATGTGCAGGAAATGCAACTGATCTATTTATAATTTATGTATTCAATAAATCACATTACATATTAATTTCAATTAAATATTAAAGTCTTGCACCCATTCAGGTTTAAACATTCAATAATGGCTCATTGAACAGGAGAAAAACCTTTTTTTCCCAAAGCTAATGGAGCTTTTTGCACATCTTTGACCTCCACAGCGTGGCTGTGCTGCAGGTGGAGGAGGTTGGATGTGTTACTCTGGGTCTTTGGGTGCCTCCTGGCACTTTGAGGCCTCTCTGGGTTAAATACTAAACTACAGGCGAAGCCGTTTCCAGCATACAGAGCTTTTGCGAAGGAGGGGGCCTATGATGCCGCATGCGCACAAATCAAAAATACACAAACATTCGTTAGAAATATCTTCCAGCACAGAATCATCATGGCTTTAATGTTCTTCCATACAAATCATCAACATCTGCCTCCTTTACAGAGGAAGATGTTCAATGGCAGCAGAGTAGATATAAAGTTGGCAAAGCCATGGTACAGGATTGCATCCCTGCTAATGGGTTTAAACGCGTTGCCACAGCACGCCCTGCCAGATAGTTTTCCATAAAAATTGCAATTTGCTTCATTGTGGCCTAAACCCTGGAGAACATCAACAATCTTCCGTCTGCCAAATAAACCACGCCCCTCAGAACTGAACCACCTGTTACACTAACACCAATAGTGAGCAAAAGTTATGAAAAGAAGATTTTATGTAATTTTTCCCAGAGTGTCAGAAAGAAGAAAGATATTTTCATACCTGCTCCAGATTAATGATGTACTGGTACCTGGATGGTGTCTTGGTTGAATTCATGGTGACATATCAGAGATGACATTTGTTTAAATAATCTGTAACTGACTTCTAACCCCCAAGCGTTGGTTCCCACCATCGGCATTGAGGGGGACACACGGTATTCAAAGAAACATCTGCCTCCTCATGTGAAATGCGTTAAAAAATCAAAGCTGAACAAGGAGAACTTATACTGTATGATAAAATCACTCAGTGCAAAGAATTGTTGAATTTGTGTATCTATATGTCTTTAGATAAGAAATGTTGGAAGCGGGATGTGCATGGAGATTAAACACTTTGTCTCTGGAAGCCCGATCCGCCTGGAGAACTGTGTGAAAAGTCGAGGAGAAGTCAGCTGGAGCCATGGACAGGTACCTGTCAGTTTTTGTGATCAATTGCATGCGTATGTTTTTACCTCATTCACCTGTGATTGCGCAATAATCTAGCCCCTCCCACTTCTCACTTCCTCTTGGGCTCCAAACTGGGCTTGCAGACTTTGAACCTGCTGATTATAAACCTATGTTAGATTTATCTTTAAGTCCTCATGTTTGGGTAATCAGAATCCACTTTTAATCGTCTCCTTCCCAGAGCCACACCCTTTTTTTCAACAAATGTGTCGTAGTTTAACAGACCTCTCTGCAGCTTCTCTACTGTTACCCACTTTACTCCATCCAGACAGTGTCTTGCCCACAACCTAAATCTAATTAATTAGCAAAGATTCCCAAAGGAGTAAACCATGATAATATAATTAAAATTAAAATAGCTGCAATTGGGGAAAAAGTTTAAACAATTAAATGCGGTCTGTTTAACATAAGATCTCTTTCCTCTAAAAGTCT